AGAGATTATCATTCAGGAAAAGGCATGTCAAAACAAAGTTGTTCAGAATATCTATCTACCTTGTTTTGTAGACAAATTGTGAGAAGTCTTTCAGTGCTGTACTACTTCTGCTTTCTATGGGAATTTCACAGGCTGCATTTCTTCTAAGTGACATATGATATAACAATAAGATAAAATTAGCTTTTATTTTATTTAAAATTGAGCTGGACTTCTTTCTTTGAGGAAAATTGACTGTAATTTTCCAGAGTAAGTTATTTACTGAATTCCAGTTCTGGAAGAAAAATGTGAAGAACAGGGAGTTAATAGCTGGTCTGTTGTGCTTGACAAGCTTGATAGATAAGTCTCCGCACAAAGAGGGTGATTGACTATCTGTCAGCCAGTCTAGAGTCTCCCCTACAAAGCACAGCATTATAATAAAAAAGAGGTCATGCCTTGCTAAACTTCAAAATAATTTTCCTACATTAATGGGAATAGTTATAGCAGGAATAAAATTTTCCTATTTTTCTGAGTGCAATATCTACTATGTGTTAGTTCTTGCTGAGGCATTCATGGCATTTAGACAAGTGTTTGCATTAAAACATAGCTTTGTCACAAAATTTGGTCTTGCTGTTTTGCAAGGTGCTAGAACTGTATGGAAAAGCTTCTAAAGGATGCACACAGTGAGCAAGTAGCTTGTTGTGGGTACGGAGATCTCAGTGCTCTTGCCCATTTGAAGGACAAGCATCAGCCTGAAATTCCAAACTTTCACTAAATAGCTATTCTGTTTCATGGATGAAGGAAAGCTTACAAATATAACCCATGTACTTAGTATTCAAACGCAATTAAAAGATACCCAAATGTTAACTCTTAAAAGAGTTCTAGGTCAAGAGTTTTTGAATATTTAAATTTGGCAATACTGAAGTCACTACCAGCCACTTTTTTTTTTTTTTTTTTCTGATGCTTCCTATCAACATTGCAATGTTTGAGCTGTCTGCCTTCACATTAACAGCATATGGCTGACACTTGCAGGGAGGAATGTAGTGATACCACTCAAGCCTTAGGGCAAATAAAAGCAGTTTGCCTTTTGAAGCTGCTAGGAGACCTTGTTGTTTTCCTCTCCAAGCACTCAGAAACATGTCGGCTTCTAGAAGTGTGCATAAATACTTCGCTACAGTTTAAGACGGGAGCCAAAAGAGTATGCAGTATCTGAACAAAACTTCGGTGGAAATTTAGGCTGGAGAATACGATTGCAAAAATCTAATTTAGTCAGGACTCCAGGGACAACCTTGTTTACAGTGCCATAGAGATCTCTGATTATAAATACAACAGATCTAAATTTAATACTGCATCTTACAGACAGCACTTCCAATAATTCAGCTTACTCTGGCATCCTGCTGGGACATTAGTGTAATGTTAACTTAGAAGTAAGGTTACTACCTGTGGAGTCACCAATGTCCCAGTATCTGCCTAGAAATAAGTCATGTGGCAATTGTTTCTTACTTCAGAAGAAAATAAGTGTGCATTTCATCTAGCATACGTGTGATAGTCTTCGGAGGAGGGGCGTTTACAGTAAAATTTCCTCAGAGGGAAGAAAAGATTGTGAAACTAAACCAGGGGCTGAAACAAGCCTAGCATCCCCAGATGTGGGTATGCTGAAGACCCATTTCCTGAATCTCCCTAATGTGAACAGGGACATTTTCCTTCGTACTACAGGAACAGCTTGACCCAGTGGGACTCTAGGAGCCTGGTTGATGTGGTGTCATGGGCCAAAAAAAACCCTTCTTCGAGTGGGAGTTGTGTGCATAATGGTTCCTTTCTGCCACTTCTTGTTTTCTACTCATTTTTCTTTGCTCCAGTCTGGTTTATCCATGGGGTATAGCCTCTTTGGGGGTGTCCCTGCCCCAGAGAGGGTCCTCCCCTGTCACGGAGCACCTCCTTCTGAGACCGCTTCTCTGCTCCTACCCTCAGCAGCGTTCCCTTACATGTGTCCCTTTTTCTTCCTACCCCCACAGAAGTTGTCACTTTTTTTTCTAAAATACGTCTTAAGGGAAGTGTCATGTGTTCCTTAAAGCACATAGTTAACACTTTGGAGTATGAGACAAACATTTGCACTGGCTGCAGAGTCAGCTGGAAATCACTGATACAAGTTGTTCATGTCTCTCCCACATAAGGCACCACCGCAGGTCCCAGTTACCAAAACTGTATCTTTTAAGTCCTGTCCAAGTCCATGCACTCTCTTAGAACTTCTTAAAATAGGAAATTAAGAGAATTGCACTTTGAATTTGGTAATAGCCTTTCTCTTAAAACTGATTCATCCTCAAAGAGTTCAGTGTTAACTAGACATTAGTAATTTGAAAAGAGTATATCCAAGATGAATGTAGATGAGATTGAAAGTGAGGCTATGCAGAAATCAGTTAAGGCTTGGTTGCAGAACTGGCACTCTTTTAAGATATCTGTCTTCAGTTACCAAAGATAAGTCTTGCAAAGCTCTTAATTATCATGAAGCATGAGACGCTTTATTTAATAGCTAACTCACTAAGCAAAAATTCTCTTTCTTTACTATGAAAAGCTCCAGATGATAATACATCCCTGTGACTGTCACCTCAAGATTACAATAATGAACCATAGATGAAGCCTGTGATAGGTACTAGCTTCACCTAGAGTGAATGCAGTGGTTAATTTTCCCTAATGTTAACACCACCAGCAGGTTATTATATTCCCCAGAATCCTCCATATTCTCTTGATTTGCTTCTGATATTCTTTCAAAATATTTTTCTTCATTTGTAGCCTAATGCTAGAGCTATACTGGCAGAAACCACACAGGTAAAAAGCTCAGGACAGGTGAGGTTTTTGGCAGAAAGTCACCTGGAGGGAGCTAATGAATGAAATAAAAATGAATTTAAATGATGTTTACGATGCCTACCTGCTAGAAAAAATGTTTTCCATGCTACCTTAGATAGAATTACATAGCAGTAAGGTGAGGAATGAAAGAAATGAAGAAGCAAATTAAATTTGGGTGTATTTCACTTAACAGGAAGAGTTAACATATAAGTCTAAACATATAGGAATTATGGTGATAACAGCCTTACAAGAAACATAAACATAATTGTACTCATTTTAATTGTTAACTAGACTACTGAAGTTATAAAGGATTTTTTTTTCCTGAATGCTGATCATAATCAATTGGAGCAGGTTTTTTACTGCTGCAAGAGTCTGAAGACATCCAGATCCTAGGAATCATTAACTGAGGAACGATCAGTCTGAACAGAATTATAATCATGCCGGTGCACTTGTTTTTTCCTGTCTTCATTCATATACTTTCTTTTCTAATTCACTTCTGTAAGGCAAGGAGAGGAAATGTCTTGGTGTCAGACTTCTTTTTATCTCCTGATGGGGCTCTTTTATTGTTTCTGATTTTCTTTGGAAAAATGTTGTATAGGTATTTACAAGTCTGCATAGACTATACATACAATGTATGTTACATCTGTGAGATCTTTTTAACTGCTTGATCTGACACGTGCATACTATTTTGAATACAACTAAATGAAAATTCCTTTGAAAGGGAAAAGGCATAGAGTGAAATATATAGAAAATATAGCTGGTATTATGTGACATTCTTTGAAAAACTGTCTTTGGACCTGTAACGCCAAGAAGGGTGAGCTTAAGAAGAATGTCTATAAACGCTTCTGAGTGCAATTTCTTTTTAACATCGTCTCGAGGGTGGAGAACATTCAAGAGATCAGGGGAATGCATCTCGACTGATTAACCACTTGGTGTCATGAAAGCATGGCCCAGTGTCGCTCCCACGTGGTGAGGTCAGTCACATGCTGGTTGTGGCTATCACAGAGCAGGTTTTCTTCTAAAATGTAGTTTCAGCAGAAGGCTGGCTCTCCTCTCTCCCTCTCCTCTCTCTTTTATTTTTTTCTCTTTACTCCCACTCTTTCAGTGTTCATAATTAATTTTAATTTTTCCTCATCTTTATCTTGCTCATTTGCATATTTTAGCATGCCAAGATGTTGGCAGAAATGCACCCTTATGGAATATATTCAGCAGGAGTTATTTGAAAGAGATATAAGCTTTCCTGGAATCTTTTATATGAGCAGTATTTGAAAAAAATATGTCTTTGGAAGGAGGTTTCAAGCCCTAAAATGTTTATATGGGGAAGTTTAGAAGTAAGTTATGCGTCTACTCAAAAATTAACATAACTTACCTTGTTCTCTTTAGGCAAAGGAACACTATAAACTGAGTTAAAAGCATCAAGCTAGATAACAACCTCATTTTTCCTTTAAGGATTGAAATGAGATTACTTTTTTCCTGTGTTATATTGCTTCTAGCCTTTGCACAAGTGTTGGAGAAGATTCTAAACTGCTGGGGAAGATGGAGTAGATCTTCATCCCTCCTGCCTCGTGTACACTTTGCAAAGGCCATAATAGAAACAGTTGCCAGTCCTGGGAATGCCTATTTATTTTGTAGCCTGAATTTCCCTGCCGCTGTACTGCCTTGACATGTACAGATTATGAAGAAGAAAGTAAGGAACAGGCCTGTTCAACTGAGCAGAGAAGGAAAGGTGGGTATGTAGTATAGAAGTGTGGGGCAGTATACTTCTAGTCAAGAACTTGCTCTGGGGAGAAATTTCTTGTACAACATATTTACCTCTAATTAAAGTAATAAATGCAAAGTCATACTTGATATCATAATGTCAGGGCATTTTAAATCAATATCTATCTCCAAATTTAAAAATTTGAACTTCTCCGTGAAACTATTACAGTGTCTTAGAGGTCCTGGCTACACTTTCTGATAGAGCAGAGCTTAGTCTAACACTGTGCAAGTTCATCAGTATATCCAGTTATTTTCTACATACTTTTGCCATGTGCGGTCATCAGGTTCTGATTTCCTTTTTACCTTTTTTTGAGGGGGTATATATATGTATTAGAGAATCCTCTGTTAATGTTCTGGTCCACTTAATTTGCGTTCTGTTCCCTCAGCAGCAAAAATCGTATTTAACTTGTGACTACTCAAAGAAGTTTTGTTTGGAAGATACGTTTATATAATAATGAGGTAAATGTAAATTGAGACTTACTGATTATTTGGGGAAAAACTTGAGGGAGCACAAACTCATATTAGTTTTAATTTACTATAGCCTAATACGGTTACTACCTGCTAGTTCTTCCAAGCCGTTGGTAACTCTGCTAGATAAAAAAATAAAAAATGACGGTAACCCATTTTCAAGTTACTAAATGAAAGCTGTAGGAATCTCTGGAAAGTGAAATCCTCTTATTATATTGCTAGCATACATTAACTTTTCAGAAAATATAAGAAAAGGTGAGGCACACTGATTAGGAAGAAACTTACAGGATTGTATTTTTTTTGTATACTGTATTCTAGCAAATAATTTGGTTTTACATTGCCTACTTAACTGTCCTCTGACTAAATATATTTTTAAGCTTCTTGCCACTTTATTTCTGTAGGTCTTTGATGTCTAGTGTGAGTGTACTAGCAACACAAGTGTAAGGTTACAGAAGCCCTGTGGCTAACAGGGAAATTCCATATGCCACACTTTTTGTGAAGCTTCATATCCATTTCCTTTATGATTCTATTAGTCACCCTGATCTTTAACATCATAATCTGGTGCTGGCAGCGTTTCCTTTTGCCTAAATCAAAATTGGCCTGTGGGCATCTTAAGTATTTGGATGCGAAAATCACTTTTTCATCCTCCGAGACTATCAGAAATAGACTAATTTGGATAAAATGTCTAGTCTGTTTGAAATAAAGAAGAAAGAAAAGAAATACATAAGGACATACAATATGTAGAAGAATCTAGCACTTACTAAATGCCATTTACCTGCTGCTGCCCTGTCTCTTCACCTGTCTGCTTTGAATTAGTTTCAATAGCCATCAGCATTTGGAAGAGAACCATGTATAGCAGGGACTATGATGATGATCCTAGCCAGTGTCACTGGGAACTTCAGGGGGTTATTTAATATTCACTGTGTGCACTTAACAAAAAAAAGGATGGAATGTGTTTTTCAAACTTCACTGCACATCTGCACATTATTGCATGTGTATTGTGGGCCCCAGTGACCAGTGAACAAGCTGGGCCAAATCTGTCCGCAATTACACTGATGCAAATCTGGAGTAATTGTGTCCCTTTATGAAGAGAGGCACCTTGTTTACACCAGCGTGCAAAGGCAGACGGCAGATCAGGCCTGAGTTGTCTGTTCCTGGCTGCCGTGCTCGGCTGATGGTCTGTGTTTAATGTTCTTACAGTCCTGTAGGGGTATTTGCAGAACTGCCTCAATTCAATTTGCTGCTTTTAAATAACACACTGCACTGAGGCTCCAGTTAGGCAGAAACAAAGGAGAACTGAGTGCTGGCCTATTCTGTTTTTAAAAGGGTTATTTATGTGTAACCTTCTGGTCTTTAATCTTTGCTGTTCTTCTACACACACCATCTTCCCCAAGAGCTTTTCTCCTGAATCTATGTGCTACATCCTCTTGGATTTCTTGGCTCTAATGCTGGGCTCTAGGTAAAAATGTTGTGTGGTGGTTTATCTGTGTACTTCGAGCACTTCAATTTTGAAACAGAGGGATCTTTCCTTGCAGTGTGTCTTCTGCTAACTTTTCTGAGTGCTAGAATCAAGCTCAGTTCTAACATTGCAGGATAGGACACTGTTGCAGGGGAGATATATGCCAGGTAGTTTGAAAAATTAATTTCCATATGTATACATATTTAATTTATCCTAAGTTATGTGATTATTTAGTTCTTTCAAGTTTGCTCAGTGTTTTACTTCCTAGTAACACAATTCTTCCAGTAGCTGCAGAAGCTTCAGGGTTAAGTTTATGTTATTTTAAGGAAGCTGGGATGCACAAAAACATTACTGCAGAAAGTGATTTTTGTTTGTTCTTGTACGTCTTTTGCCAGAATTAATGACGTCAATGAAGACTGTATGAGCCAAGGTTCTTTTTTTCATAGTCCTTGCGATTTAAAGAGACAGAACATTTCTAGACTGCCTGTAAATAAGGAGAAAAATTTCATGTCAACCATCCCTGATGACTAGCTCACTGTGTAAGTAAAATGTATGATGGCTATAAGAGGTGTTTTGTGAGTAGGGCATAGATGCTTTATTTTTATATATAGCTTTTAGAATTAGAGATGTATATCAAATAAGTTTTATACAGTGCTTTCAAAAAATGATCTAAGATATTTTTCTGACCTCTGTCACGACCATTTATAAGATTTGGCATGTATAACACTTCATTCAGAATCACTGATGTTCTGTGATACTATATTTGTTCTTTCAATGGTGTTAGTAAAATTTTTTTTCTGTTTATAATATAAGGTTTTTTCTAGCTGCTAATTTAGACTGGATTCTGAAAACTTGCCTTCATTGGCCCCATCCTTCTTGGTAATATACTAATCTGTTGAAAGTGTATGAGATAACTTTATATAACTCCCTCCCTTCCTTGAAGCAAGAAGTAAGGGAAGGCAACTCTGATAATTCAAATGAAAAATACTGAATTTATAAAAGTTAATGGTTCAAGATGTAATTGCTTACTACAAAATTGCAATCAGTATATATAGTGTTGGCTAGGATTTTGATGAAATTTAGTACATTAGTATAATTCCCAGAGTAACTTGTCACCCCTGGTATACACTCCTCGCATTCCCATTTGTGGTGCAAGTTCTTTTCCTTTAGAAGAAAGCTACTGAACAAACACTCAGTTTTCTCCTAGTAAATAACTATTTGACTGTCTCTGGTACTAAAAGCAACCCACAAGCTTTTCTTTCCAAGCATTACAATTGCAGCTTCATCTCAGCCCAAATCTGTGGTCTCATTCCTTGCTGCACAGTGTACATCACTGTACGATGATACATTCCCACCTAGTGGACTGCTGTGTGTATCTGTGTGATTCCACCTTGACATCTCGGATGCTATTACTATGCAAGAAAAATTGACGGATTTTATTCGATTCACTGGTGAATATTGTTTTTATTTATTTATGTATTTTATTTTGTAGACTACCAACACGGGATCTGCTGTGGGATTCTCTGTTGTCTAATTCAAATGTCTAATTCAAGAGTTGTCTCTATTTGGAGTATGACGGCATCATAGACCGATCCTGAAGCGATCCTTCAGTTTGCAGCTAGTCTGAGTTATCTTTGCTGCATTTTTCTTATGCTACAACCACATTTATTTGCTCAGTCAAAAGACTGTGCTTCCTTCCTAGGAACCCGTTTGCTTCATGTCTATGTGGTGATGATTTTCACCCTTCCTCTCACATTTAGTCTTCTCAACTACTCAATGACTGTCCATTCACTTTATTTTCATTCAAGCTCAGGTTTAGTTTGCTTTCAGCCAAAGTCTTGATTTGTGTTAAGTATTATGAAATTTGTAATGACAGCATTTTCCTTTCAAGGAATCTGCAAAAGAAGGGGTAGTCTCTAGTATTGCTGCTATCTGCTGCTGCTTTCTAACTATCCCAGTTGATCCATTTTGAGGGGTGATCATGGGGTTTTGGACTTTGTAACGTCACATGGAAAAGGCTTTAGGGCAAACAGTAGTTGACTCGATGGAAAAAAGACCAGGTGATTGGAGGCTGGAGGCTAGTCAAAACCATACCATGAAGACAAATATCCCCTTGATGCATGAATCAGCTCTGTAGAAAAACATAATTAAAGTAACTGAAATCAATGTGCAAGAGCCTGAAATTACTCTGAATGAAAACAAAACAAAACAAATAAGCAATACCAACAAAAAACAGAAAACAAGCAAACAAAAAAGCACAAAAGGAATAAAACTCATGAATGCTTCCTTGGTATTACAGGGCTATGACTCATCTTTGGTTTTCTTTATGTGGCATTCATTAATAACTCCCCAAATAACTCGCTGACTCATCTGAGCCTGGAGCTAAACATCTCAGATTTTAAAGTAAGTTTCTTGTCTGGGAAAGTTGACAAGCTGACAAAACTGTGCAATATCTGTGTCTAGTTTGCTAGATCTTAGGAGTGTTTCAGATTCCCCACATTGACCCAGTGTTCCTATCAAACCTGCCATAAAGTCTACATCTCTGTGAGCAGGAGAAAAGTTCAGTCTCCTTGTTCACTGAAAATTATGCTTGTAGGTGAAATGGAGCATTTCAGCTGCCAGATGTACTTCTCAGAGAATGGAATGGCATGTTTTGTTTTACTTACAATTCAGAATAGTCTTTTAAAGGGGAAAGGCTTTCTAGCTTAGTTCCCAAGATATCCCACCTCTGATTCACCTAACTTAAAGTGCAGCATTTCTGTTGTGCAACCTTTAAGGCACTCTTGTGCTAATGTAGCCTAGAAAACTCATGAATGCCAGTTCAGGCTAATTTATTCTTGAATAAGTAGTTTTGATCTCCCTTGGACAGGCTCCGTAGGGAAGAGCTCCACTAGATGGCAATGTTTACCCAGATTCTGTTTGCCATCTGCTCTACCCGGCTGCCCATCAGCCGATTTTGCTGGTGGAGTAAAATATTAAAAAGTTCCATATGACAAAAACATTCTTTAATTAAAAAATCTTGATTATTTTATTTAAATTAAAAATATCATGTGCTATCTTAATATTGTTCAATTACTGTGTATAAAGAATTGTTCTGTAAAGTTAATGTTCTCTCTTTCCCTCCTCCTCTCCTTGTTATTAAATACATCTTTGTTCATAGTGTTGTTTTATTGAGACAGATGAGTTTACATCACAAATATAAGTAATTATGTCAATTCATTTTTCTTCTTCTTCTTCTTATTTATTTTTTAGTGTAGGAAACATTGCAAGTCAATTGTCTGTCTCTATATCTCTTTTTGTTCTGCTCCGGCTCAGCTGGGGATTGGTTTGAGAGCCTCCAAACTTGCACAAGCAGATTTTAAACTTCCAATCTGCCCCATAAAGATTAGGGAAGTCTTTGTGGTGCTGTGGGATGGGCAGGAGCAAAGTCCTTTTGTTGGAAGAGATAGACCGGAAAATATTTTCTCAGGGAAGAAAGGTAGGAATAACTCCAGTCAGTCTAGAAGATATTCCTCACTCCTTTATTACTGCTGGGCTCTGGAGCCTTCTTTCTTTACATGAAGTAATGCATAACTAGAGGCAGTCAGTCCAAGGGGTTGGATGAAGAAATACACAGGGAGCAGCAGGGCTCCGTTCGTAAGAGACTGCTTTTCACAGAAGCAAAGTGGAATAGCGATCTTGCTGAAGGAAACCATGTAAACAATTTCTTAGCAGTCAATCACACAAAAAAATGAGACTGATTCATGAGACAATGAAGGAAGGAAGACAGAGCTGTGTGAGAAAGGAGAAAAAAAGAATAGCTGCTGCAGGAACTGCAGAACTAATAAAACCACATTCCCAAGAGGTGTCTGTGCCTTATGGGGTCTAATAAGGCATAAGCTTGAATCCAATCTTTTTTGGAAATTGAAATATTCAGAGATTATTAAGAAACACCAAATTTCTCTTCTGGAGGTTATAGCAGGTGTCTAATAATGTAGAATGTATGCCCTAGCCTCCATCTTTCAGGCACTAATATGGTCTTTCTCCTTTCCCTGTCTGCCTCTTTTCAGTCAAGTTCCTTTGAGACTCATGTGTCTGATTTGGCTGAAATTGGCCATCAGGTTCAAAAACTACTAAGAGGAAAGAGACTGGCAGAAATAGACTCAGGCATGGGCACCTAACAAGAATACATAAAAGTAATTTCTCATCCTGGGTGATGGAGGTGGGGAGAGCAACGGGGTAAAAAAAATATAAGTTTCTCTTCCTTATCTTAAATTCTGGGGAGACACAAGGAAATATGAAGGAAATGTGGCTGAACTATATTTAGTGCTGTACATGAGACAGCATGTATTTTAGTAAAGATAAAAATATTTGGGCCAATAGATATTTATTTGAATTGCACTTCTCAGAATGAGTGGAAATAGACTTGATTTTATATTCTGGTGGACTTCATGTCTCTACTTTTACCCTCCTTCAAGCCTCCAGAATTGACAACAGCCTGCTAATCTTCCTTGCATTTTAGCAGTTCTTACCAGACACTGTCAGCAACTTTCCTATAATGAAGACAGCTCTGAAAAAGTGCACACCACTGAGGGAATTAGAAAAATTTGCTTCCATATAACTAAATCCTCGAACTGTAAGCATGTGTCTTTAAAGTTTTCATTCTGATGTGTTATTGAGTTTATACTAGTTCAATAAGTTAAAACTATTCATATGATGCTGTTGTCTCACAGAACAGTTAAATTCAGTGTTTAGACCCAAAAACTTTTAAACATTTTACAGTAAGTCAATATCCAACATGCTAACATGAGTTACCATTCTTATAAGGATCTTTCAAATCTCTCTCTCTCTCAGTGATATAAATTTGTAAGGTAGCATGGCTGAGTTATCCGAAACAGTACTGGAAAATGCATGTTTATACAAACTTCTGTGTGGCTGGTGCTGTACTGATATGAGATTGGCAGTACAATTCTCATTTTTTGACTCATCCAACTCAAAATGACCTTCCTTGATCCTCACTGTATAAGAACAAGTGAAATTCTGGCTACAGTGAGATTGCAACAAAATTAGTGTTCCCAGTATTTCAACCATATAACATGGAAAGCTCATTGCTCAAAAGGTCTTAAGATTAAACAGAGAAAAGGTGACAAGAAAGAAAACTTTCTTTTTTTCCCCTCTATCTGAAGACAAAAAACAGGTGTGAGGAAGCTTCAGAGGAACTTTCTTTTAATATTTAGCTGATGCAGAGGGGTATGTGTGAGGAATCAGAAATGCCTGTGTATAGCGCCAAGCCAAACTGAACACGACTCTCAGGAGCTCCTCTCTGCTTCCCACATACCTCTAAATATGCTCCAGTGTGAGCTGTGTGATGACAGCAAGTGCAGGCACTAAACCCCTTCCAACAGCTCTGCCTTGACACAGCCTTGCTCTGATACCTTCGAGCTTCGTGTGCTGAAATGTCTTATTCAAGTGAGGCACCTTATTCAGGGTAAGGCCTTGTGGCTTTGGTTGTTGCATATCTGAAAAGATCTGAACAGCACCTCAGTTCTCCAAAGGCCCTGTGGGAAGGTAACTGCAATGGTTAGAAAAAACAGCATGCAAATGAAAACCATGGCCTGAATCTGTTTGGGGAGAAATAAAGCTCAGCATGACCCAAGCAAACAGAAAAAAATCCCCTTCAACCCGCCAGACAATGTCCTGTGTCTTGCCACCAGTGGAGTCACCAGTGGGAGGCAGCCCCTGTGAGCACACTGAACATTGCACATTGCAAAGCTGCAGAAGGGCATGTTGCCAAAATATTAACTGAAAACTGAAACACTTATTTAAAATTGGCGATGTGATAGACTACAGCATCAGCAACATATGTCGTGCAGCATATGAATAAATCAAGCCTCATCCATGGCTAATGAAAGGCTTTTCGATATGCTTAACACTAAATTACTTTTGATTAAAAAGCTTACTGGAGAGACAAATGTAAACTACAGCTAGGTGTGCTCACTTTAGGCAGTTATGTGTTGAATCTAATTTGAAATGGATAAAAGCTAACACATTTCATTTCCTGCATACTCAGTGAGACAATGTTCGCATTTTTTGAACAGTAATTTCAAGTGAGTCTCTCGAAGTGCTTGAGTCAGCAACACAGCAAGAGTGTTTAGAAAGATGATCATGCAAATGGAACTTCAAGTGATTTAATATGCTCACCATCACAGGTAGGGAGCTTGATCTATGGCGTACTTAGAATGATGGAATAAGCTGCGTACATCAGTAGAGTATTTCAAGCTGTTGGTATTCTTAGCAAATAATGTTTAATATGGGTTTATCTTCAATCTAGGGAACTTACTGGGAAATGTGATAAATAGCAAAGTTATGGAAGCAACAAATACATCAGAGAGGATAGCTGGATGCGATAGCGGAGATGATAGAGAGAACAAGGAGTATTATTACTATTATCAAGTTTTGTATGCTAGAGATTGTGTAAGATCTACAATTTCTTATAAGAATTACTGCGACTGGACTTAGGCATCCTAAAAGGGATGGTATTAATCATATCAATCATAGTAGGAAAGAAGGTATAAAGCTACCAGGCAAAGTGTGCAACACTGAGTTCAGGATCTAACAGGTAAATCAGGTAGCTGAACAA